GTAGATACAGCATAGCAAGCATGCAGTGTCACCATCACATAAAGTGTGTTACCAGCAGGATCACCAGATTAAAGTAAAGCCAAAAAGTCTGAAAAAAGAAAACGAATGCAAACATAACGTTTCAGGGATTGTAAACTGCAGAATAGAAATCAGTTCTGTTCTTGTGTTTAGATACACTTTAATACTGAGGGAAGGCAGAATAGATATTTTCCTCCAGGACATGTAATAGTTATTGTCCAATTTGGTACCATGTCAAAAATCTTTGTCTGTCTCCATTTCACAGATTTGTTATACTTTATTTTGACTTTCCATACCAGACGTTCATAAAGAAGAGGAAAACCAGCGAAACGAAAAGCAGTTTTTGTGGCAGTCTTATCTCAGCAGGGTTCTACATTCCTGAACAGAGGCCAACAGGTAAGAGCTGCGCTGTGATAACAAAACACGAACGGATGGATCTGCGGTGCTGACGCTACAGAGTTCAGGTATTGCCATGGATGGGGCTCCTGATTGTCCAAGTGGACAATGCCGTACCAGAGCACTGATTTTATAGCGGACATTAATTGCCGCTATAAATCACTGATGCCATTGATTGACGATGATTTGCAGCTAGTGATGTCATTGCTAGAGTGGCTGGTGATTTGTTTAAAGAGGAACTCCAGCTATTAATAAAATTACCCCTGAAGTGGGGCCACTTCCACACTGCAAGGGTTTATGGAATACAGAAGATATACTCACCTGATCCTCGGTCCTGCGGAAGTCAGTGCTCCCCTCTCTCCCCCTTTGCTCCAGCTGGGGTCCCTCGGCGTCCTCACGTCTAATGTAGGTGAATGGACCTGCATTGGATGTGATGAGGCCAGCGGGGCCTAGGCCTCACAGTGGGGTAGTGGTTGGCACTTCTGCCTTGCAGCAATGGGGGTCACCGGTTAAAATCCCGGTAAGGACACTGTCTGCAAAGAGTTTGCATGGGCTTGCTCCGGGTACTCTGGTTTCCTCCCACACTCCAAAGACATGCTGGAAGGTTAATTGGCTCCTTAGGCTGCGGGGAGAAGACGCTACAGGGAGTGGTCTAGTAGCTAGGCAGGATTAAGCATCAGGTAAGTATATCTTCTCTCCAGTCCCTAGATCAAAACAAGCAGTTACACATTGCAGGGTGGGGGTAGTCCCACTGCAAGAGTTAATTTTGTTACTTCCCGGAGTCCTTCTTTAAACTAGTGCAAGAGTATTGGCTTGTGCTCTGCTACAAATTGCTCACCTATAGCGATGTGTAGCTAAGTCATAAAAGTGAGTGCAGAGCAATTCAGACTAGCCATTTTGCCACCAACGGCAACATTTCATGGATAGATGCACTTGACCTGCAGCTGAACGCCTTCTGGCCTGCATTTGACCTGCTCCAAGCAAGCTTTGCATTATCATAGACTTGTATGGGTCTATGATGTCTAACACAAGCTAAAGCCCATCAACACAAGTCCTTAATGTAACATGAACAGCAAGAGTCTTTAGTGAATTGAATCGGACGTAGAGGGAAGTAACGTATAATGATGAGGGGGGGGGGACTTATAACAATTCTACATAAATGGGGGGTGGGTCCCCACTTACACAATGCTTAGGGGGAGGGGGGTTCCCCATTGGCACAATTGGCACAATGTCAGGTCATTATTCTTAAAATAGCCACTAATAACAGGGCATTCATCCTGTCATGGACACTAACACTGGGGTATTCTTTCTCCTTATGACCACTGACACTGTGGTATTCCTCTTCCCACTGAGGAAGAATGCTGGGGAAGTCTACCTTCTACCGACCATCAACACTGGAACATTCTACCTGACATTGATCACTGATACTGTGGCAATCTTCGACCCACTGAACACCAACACTCCGGCATTCTACCTTCCACCGACTGCCAACACTAAAGCAACTAACCGCTGGCACTGGAGCATCTTTCCTTCCACTGACCACCAACTTTGAAGAATTCTACCTCCCTCTGCCCACCGACACTGGAACATTCTTACTTCCACTGACCACCAACATTGGAGAATTGTACTTCTCACTGACCACTAACATTCTACATCCCACTGACCATTGACACTGGATCCCACTGACCATCAACACTGGAACATTCTACCTCCCAAGGACCACCGACACTGGAGCATCCTACCTTCCACTGAGCACCAACACTGGAGAATTATATCTCCCACTGACCACCAACACTGGAACATTCTTCCTTCCACTGACCACCAACCCTGGAGAATTTTATCTCCCACTGACCACCAACACTGGAACATTCTTCCTTCCACTGACCACCAAGACTGGAGAATTATATCTCCCACTGACCACCAACACTGGAACATTCTTCCTTCCACTGACCACCAAGCCTGGAGAATTGTACCTCTCACTGGTCACCAACACTGGGATATTCTTCCTCCCACTGATCACGAGCACTGGAACATTCTGCTTCCCACTGACCATCATCACTGTGACATTCTATCTCCCACTGACCACCAATGCTAGAGAATTCTACCTTCCACTGACCACCAACACTGGATAATTTTACCTCCCACTGACCACCAACACTGGAGAATTCTACCTCCCAATGACCATCATCACTGGGACATTCTTCCTTCCACTGACCACCAACACTGGAGAATTCTACCTCCCACTGGCCACCAACACTGGGAGATTCTACCTCCCACTGACCATCATCACTGGGACATTCTACCTTACACTGACCACCAACACTGGAGAATTCTACCTCCCACGACCATAATCACTGTGACATTCTACCTCCCACTGACCATCATCACTGGGACATTCTACCTTCCACTGACCACCAACACTGGGTAGGTTGTAAAGGGTAATTCCGGCACCGGTGTACGCTAAGAAGCACTTCTCATTGGTCAGTGTGGCGAGGTGACCGTGCTGACCAATGAGTGCTTGCCATTTGCGAGCGTTATTTGATCTGCTCAGAGCAGGGCTACAGTGCGGTGTTTGGTGTGTGGACTGTACACCGGCTGCCGCGGGGGTAATGGTGGTTTCCCTAATACTATGACCAGTGGGGGTGGGGAGAGGGAGCGGATTTGTGGGGGTTATTTAATTTTTTCACATGTGGAGAGAAAGTGGAATTACCCTTTAAGTAATCTTCTTGCTCAAAAAAGCAGATTTTGAGCAGAAAAATTGCTCCCAAGACATAGTGCACACGGGTGCGTGGATTGGTACATCCATGCAGAGGGTGCGCTTATGTACACAGGTAGGCACAGGTGTCCTGCCTGGTAAAATCAATGACAAGCTGCTGTAGTGTTGCATTATGCGCACGTCACCATGTGTTTACATGCAATCGCACCTAGCATGCAGTACAGGTCACTAGGTGCCTTGTGTTGGCATTCATTTGAATGGCACCCCAACGCACCTCCCACTGGCAGTACTGCACTACTTTTGTTCACCGAAACGCAAGCTATTGCAGTACTGCGCTGCAGCGCATGGCTGCCGGGAGGTCCATTCAAATGAGTGCAAAGCAAATGCACCTAGCGCCTGGTACCGCATGCACATCCTAGGCACATCCCAGTGTTTACATCCATAAATATATGGATGCACGGCTCAGTACACAGTGAGGGGACTTCATAAACAATGGATCAGACAGAATCTGGAGAAGTTGCCCAGGGCAACCCATCAACGTCTTTCATTTTCAAGGTTTAACTGAATAAACTGGAGAGAAGCCTATTGGTTTGCCAAGGGCAACTGCTCCAGATTGTGACTGCTCCAGTTTTATTTATATATATTCCACCCACTGATGGGAATTCATTAGAACTGGAGCAGACAGAACCTGGAGCAGATTCCCATGGCAACCAATCAGCTTGGCAACAAACTGAAAAGTGAAGCTGATTGGTCGCCATGGGCAACTGCTCCAGTTTTTATGAAGTGCCTCCACTGCATTCCGAGCCGTGCATCTGTCCCTTTTTGGATGTAAACACTGGGATGTGCATAAGGGCCCGTTCACACTATCGCACATTGTGCAATATCGCGCTAGGTGCATTGCGTTGGCATTCATTTGAATGGGACTCCTGACGGCCGTGCACTGCTGCGCAGTACCGCAGTAACCTGCGTTGCAGTGAAATAGAGTAGCTCAGTACCGCTCATTGCACTGCAGCACACAGCCACCGGGAGGTGCGTTAGAGCACCGCACACTAGGTGCGCTGTGCAATAACGTGAACTGGCCCATCCTTAAAGGCATGGATGCATGCTAAGTGCGCTGTGCCATGGTGTGCGCTAAACGCACAGTAATACGCACTCCCAACTTAACACATTAGTATGAACGGGACCTAAAGTTCCATGCAGCTGCAGCATGTCAATAACAGTTGGAACACCTGTGCCCACCCATTCATTTGAATGGGACCCCAAACGCACCTCCCGGCGGCCGTGCGCTGCAGCACCGTACCGTGATAACTTGCGCCGCGGTGGAAAAAAAAAAGTAGTGCGTTTAATTTTCAAAGCTTTACTGATCAAACAGAGAGAAACTGATTGGTTGCTATGGGAAACTGCTCCTGTTTTTATGACTGCCCCCCAGTCCGTCAAAGCCCCCCGCGGGCGCATGAACATGGCCCCATGCACGGATCTGCACGCCTGTGCGCACGAGGCCTTAAAGTGCAAAAAACCCTCTATGAGTGACGCAAACTAAAGAAAAACAAAATAAATAGTAAGTGAAAACCTTGCAGCCAAAATATGTAAACACAGGGACCGAGAGAACCAGATAGTAATCCAATGACGGCCTAGCTGGAGCATGCTGGGGCTTGTAGTCCCACGAAAGCAGCGGAGCCAGAAGTTGCCTAGAGGAGGAACTGCTGTGCGTCTCCAAGGCCAGGCCGTCCCCTCCTCTGTACACACAGGTACTCCCTGAGCCACTCCTGTGTGGTTGTCCCTCCTCTCCTATAGACACGTCTGTTCCTCTCCTCCTCCTCC